TAGTCCGCTCCACACTGAGTGCATGGAACCACTCTTCGAGCCTAGGACGGCACAAGGACGGTGCAACTCGTACCCTCCAGCAACGACCAACTATCGCCTGGGGCCAGTATGGACGAGCTAGTGGGTAACAGACAGGTAGGGCCTTGGTAACATACACATCCAGCGCAGCCACACCGGGGATATCAAAGAACAACAGAATTTAAGGGAAAGCAAACACGCAAAATTGTTATCGAATATGCAGCAGAATAACAGGATTAAACAGTCAAATATAATGGAATGACTTCTATCCACATTAAAAAGACTTAGTTTAAGTCTAAGTTGATTTAGTTTAACTGCAGCGAAGAAGCATTATTAATGCAACATCAACTCAGCATGTCGTAGTAATGATATATATATATATATATATACATAGAAAAAGAGAGCTGTTAGGAACAACCTTTTATTTTTGATTAAAGTTAACCCCTTTAGTAAGAGCACTAGACTGACATTTGCTAGTTGGTTAAAAATAAGCAATACAAAATCGTCGACTTTAGCCAACATCTGCCGACAATAAAACTTGTACTAATGATTTATTTAATTTTTTCGGTCTATATGATGTCTGTACGAACGAAATATAACCTAAAAGTTTCTAGTACATGATGAGGCCGTGGGTTATTTGAGGTGCATTGGCCCGTTCCCAGGATTTCAGTGTACCACTGAACTTAACAATTTCCAAAGCGACTTGAAAGCCATTGAGAGATGGCCTGATATGTGGCAGATGACATTTGCAACATCGAAGTGTAGCATTCTAGCGTATGGATGTCAGATAGCAGCAGAAGTGTTCAGGCTTGATGACGAAGTCATTCCCATCAGCCGGTCTGTTCGTGACTTAGGTTTAAGATATTCTAGTCCGTTAAACTTTAGCGACCATACAAATCATATCGGTAAAACGGCTAAGCAGTCGGTCGGGCTCAAATGCCACCTGCTAAACTTGAATGATACCAGACTAATTGTTTCAAAATCAGTATCTGGCCTTTACTTGAATACTGCTGTGTCACGTTCAGTAACTTGCGAAAGGTTGACTTGAAAGCCATTGAAAATGCCCAACGCGCCTTTACGAAGCGCATATTTGGCGGTTCAACCGCTCTTTCATAGATATAGGTAAAGCAGTTGGATCTTGAGCCTCTGTGGTTACGAAGAATGCAATTATATCTGTGCTACCTCCACAAATTCGCGTGGCGGAAAGCATTTGCTGGAACTTATCAATTGCACTTTCGGGAAAATACCAGTCATGAACTGCGAGATAATGAATGCATATTCTATTTACCTAAATTAAAGACCAGCCTCAGGAGAAATTTCTATCTTCTTAGGTATGGCTCCAGATGAAATAAGCTGCCAAAAGATATTAGATGTATTGAACATTTTTGCATGTTCAAGAAAATGATAAAGGCTTATCTGTCAACGGACAAAGTGAAATAGACCTTAAAATTCAACTTAATGATGAAATGCTGTATGAAAAAGGGTCGGATCATGTGGGATACCGGAGAACATCGACTCGAATGCACCAGAGAAAACATGATCATCTAGAATGAGCTGTTACAGACCGCTTCTTATGCTATTCTTTAATACTACCTCCTATGCGGTTTTGCTAGTTCAAACTTAATTCATATCAACTGTCTTCTGCTTAAAACCGAGAGCAAAATTATTTACTGGTGTGACGTCAGGAACTATTTTCGTAATTTTCCACCACAAATTGATTAATTCTTAATATTGTTATGCGATCCCTTTCGCTACATTTGTTCTGCAGTGCTAATCAATTCCCTGTCTTTTCTGAAGTTAACAGTCCAGAAACATATACTTAAATTTAGTGATGGCAATAACTGATTCCCTATGCGACTTTTACCTATGGGCAAGTCGAACAGTTATCTGTCTCCGGCTGTCACGCCACACTATTTGATCGTATGATCAGCTCGATCTATTTCTACGCCGATGTAAAAAACATGCCAGCCTAGTTTTTACATCAACGATATAGTACCTGTTTCACATAATTCTTCGTTTCTACATTCTTCGTTATTTCATTGTTGGTCACGATTGTGCTGATGTCCTGTGGTGACGGATTACGGCTTCCAGATTATAAAAGACTTTACCTATGCAAGGCACATTGCCACAAATTGACTGGATTATAAAAAGTGCCATAATTGAATGATCCGCATGGGGAACTGGGCTGAGGCTTCATCGCTTATAATACATGTATAAAAGTAGCCCTAAAAAGAACAGAACATATGATAAACAGGTGATGGCTCTTATGTTACTATGCCACAAGGGCACGCGGCAGGTATAGCATGGAAGTGCGGGCGAAACTTTTCGAGAGAATACCTTGCATGAAAGTAGGTCCACTGGGGATGGTTCCACGAGTGGCCGTAGTACTTTAACTGGACATCTGTTTAAATCTAAATTTGTTATTGTACCTGGTTTTTTACATTCCTTTAAGGCCGTAATCCTGCCTATTACTTTAGTACCTGTTTTGGGTCGATTGTAAAAAGCATAAAAAATTGCTTATTTTTTGCGATCCTGTTGTGCATAGTGATCAGACCACATACCGTACGTTTGAGAAGAGTCTTTCGTTTTTGCTCAGTTGCCGCGCTGGTCAGCGGTAGATTGGAACGCACTAATTTGCCGACCCACCAATGGCATGTAAGTCTACTGTATTTACTCACCCACGCATGTCTGGGGGTGTGAATACGACGTGAGGACGCATATCGGTGCATGTGTCCTTGAAATATGTTAATGACCCTGGACGATTTCGACACCGGCCAGTTCAGATTGGGTCGATGCGGACGTTTTTGGCTGGTGGTTTGCAACATCTCGACAACAGTGCATAATGCACTGGCTACCGTGTTCAAATGTTGGTGGCGCTTCGACAGTTGCTTAATGTTATCCCAGCAAATGATAAAAGGGTTAGTGACAACACTGTTGTATACTGAATGTTACCTTCACATAAACCACCTTAGCAAAACAAGAATTCGTAACAATTAGGCGGTGAAAATATGAGATGCTACTTCTGCATAAATGAGGCCGGAACAATGTCTACCAGCTACTGGAGGCTCATCGGATCTATTTGCAAGTGCGCGGCCGCCTAAGGAGTTAATTCCAGCAGAATACAGAAATAAAAAGAAAGCTGAGTGCAGTGGCTTTTGAACAGATTTTTGGACTGCACCTCGAATCACCGAGGAATATAACATTAATTTACTTATTTATTTAAGTCGAAAGGAAACTGCTACCGAAGTCCAGTATATAAATAGCTGGCAGGGAGATTCACGTCGGGTACGCGTCAGTGAACTGAGGAAGTTGAACAAATTGGAAGAGGGGGCCACTTCACACTGTGAGCAACCTCGAAGATCAAAATGGTTACAGGGAAAGACAACGGGAGTGAACGTTTAGAATGGGAGGGGTAGTGGTCCATAGGCAGATACTACTGCACCGATAAGCAGTAGTGTAGAAGTACTGAGAAAACCGGACCACACCAGGTCAACAGCGGGCAGTAACAACGCCGCAGCAGAAGAACAACGCTTGGGAGTCGCAAATGCATGCGCAAAAATTGGATACAGTAGTAGCGTGCGTCACGTATACTATAGGAGAGTGTGTGCGGAATGATTGAAATTTTGGTTCGTCGGAACAGATGTAAAAGAGTGCTGATGTTTGCCATCTTAAACAACTCCGCACCTTGGATTTACACAGAAAATCAGTAGACCTGCTAAAAAGTTTCTCAGACTGCGCGACAGCCATATATCAGCTGTGAAATTACGTTAGCAGTTACTAATTCTGTCGCCGATCGCCTTTCGTCGAGATAAAGACGAATGATCTTATACTCATCTCCGAAAATTCGCCAGCAGCTAATCGTCCTACTCCTTGTGTGCACCGTATGATGTGACTGCCGGCTATAGCTGAATCACAGATTACAGTCTGTTGAAGATCCCGTGCCAACCATGCAGCCCCTTAATTTTACTTAATTACGCAAATTTACCACCTTGAGTAGTACTCCGTGTGGCTTGGCAACCTAGAAAACTTTAGCACCGGTTTCGCTAGGTCATTGTCAAGGAAGAGTGCTCCGCGAATGTGAATCAACCCCTCCTGCTGGTGCGTTATTGCTTGTGCTTGTTGTGTAATTGAGCATCGAGGACAGTTTGTGAGATGGTTCTGTTTCAATATACTCATGTAGAGAGTAGGCTGTAGCTCATAGTCCCTATGATCTGGCGCAGACAATTGATGGAGCCTTATGTGAGTTTAACTACCCCCCCCCCCCAGGGTTTTGGACGCGGTAGAAACAACATCGGCAACCCCGACCCAAGCGTCGTCCCACTATCGAAAGTAGACGGAGCTCTAGGTGCCGTAAATCCACGTGGGCCGGAGACGGCAATCGTAGCTACACATGATCAACTTGTTGTGACTCCATTGGATTACAAGTCCACCAGGATCTAAAGCTTGATGATGTCTGGGAGATGAAATGAAACGGAATCAAAGTTTAGAAGGCAATAACAGCTGAGAACCTTGGTCACTATTTTGTGTAGTGGAATGGGATTTGACAAACAGCAGAGGCCACGATGTCAATTACTTGGGTATTTAGCCAAAGGTGGCAATTGGTGTATAGTTATGACTCCCTTTGATGATTGGCATACTGTCCGCCAAATTCTGATAGCCTAAAAAGGAAGTTCATATCGTTTGAGCTTTGTCGTCCATCCCAGCCGACTGTTCATAGCTATTTAGCGAAGGCTGTCCAGATGACAGCTGTGCGGTATGTTAAAGTCCAGTCCTAATGGAAGTGTGTTTCCAGTATACGCTACAAAGGATACAAGACAACAGCCCGAATAAGAGCAACGAGCGTCGATATGCGACCATTTAGGTAGGGTACAAAGCCATGTATTGAGAGCTTACTATTATTCACTATACATTGTCAGATTACTTAGCAATATAAACATACTGCGTATTAAATTCTTCCTACTGATTTCACTTCATTCAAAAAGCTTGACTCCTGGGAACAAGCTGCACATATGCCTGGGCTTCGCTGGCAAATTCTTTCGGCTTTGCGCGCTACAGTCTCATTGATGTTGGAACGGATAAGAAAGAATGGAATATCAGCAATAGATATAGACGTGGATTATGTGTTCTTCCCAATTTGCCGAGAGTTCAGGTGAGTGCCAGCACTTGCATAATTACAGTAAGCAGCTTCAGACAATACTGTTCATTTGAAAGTCCTGTGTTTCCTGTTCAGACACATTTCACAAGGACATAAAGATTAAAATTTTAGAACAACAAACAGCCGCTGTAGACTTGCACTCCATCACACATTGTAATCGGATCAGAAACTGATAAATACAAACTACTGGGCTTGATTCTGTTCAATTCCCAGTGCACGCCGCGATCGCAGTTAGTTTTGCTACTTCCAGAGATGAATGGTTAAAACCAATAAATACACTAGCAGCAACGAGTGGTGTGCATCGTAGGGAAAGTCGAAGTAACTGTAAGCTACGGGGAGCTCACAACCATGCGAAGTGGTATGGGTTTGAATCTATGAAGACAGCACATTGCAGCTGCATGCTTACACACATTCATAATCCTTCGGTTCATAAGTAACACATTCATAAAAACAATTTCGGAAGCGCTTTGTTCATTGCTCATGCATAAACGAAACGATTTAACTGAGTACTCGGTGAACGCCATTACGCATGTCCAATGCAGTGTTATAAATAGCGGAAGCTGAGAACCCGCGGTAAAATGTAACACTAGATGGAGCGCAGTAAAATCGCAAGCTTGTGTACAGGATACAAAAGCAAGCAGTCAAAATAGCAATAGCAATTTACACCGTTTAATCTAATTAGCAAGTTTGCACTGGTGTAAAAGAGAAATGAATTAACAAACAGTGGGGATTAATGGGTCCACACTGTGCCAGCAGCACGCGGTCGCGTAAAAAGTTGGCCACTGTGTGAGAAAGAGGAAATGTCGGTGGGACAGATCTTTTGTGGTGTTCAGCTGGTCCATATCATAAGCAAACTTACAAGAAATTCAGTGACACACACTCCAGCTAAGCAGACAAAAGACGATAAACAAACTCAGTTGTGCCGGTAGCAAATCCTGTAAAGTTTAGGGTAAATATTAAGTTGTGGAAAACTCGGAATAGAAGACAAGATGGACCAGTGGCACACGTGCAAATGACTAGTAAGTTCATAATGTCAGCAACTGCATGGAAAACAAAGTCGGCCCCCATTGATAAGCGGTGGGTGAATAAACGTACTGCGTAACACAAGCGACGCAACTTAGACATATTTACCGCCTAAGTAACCGGTTTGAACACATCCGCCAAGCATTCGTCCGTACGTCTCAGAAGAAGGCCAAAGTGTTGACTGCCGGTTCTCGACACCTCGATTTGTTTTGTGCATCCGAAATCTTCCTGTAACAGTACACCCACGTCACACTCCTGAGAGGGTTCCTCCAAGGTGTGGTCTCCAAGCTTGTAAAGGCTCACCGGCTGGTGATGCAGATGGATCACTTACACTTAGCTATGTTCAATTGAAGCAGTTCCTCTTTGACCATTCATAAATGCAAGTTAGGTCCTATCGGAGTAGATCGTGATCTTCATGGTCACTAATCGACCACCATATATTGATGTCATGGGCGAAAAGCAGGAAATTTGAGATGACTCTTGCCAGGTGGTTTATAAACACCAGAAAGAAGCGCGGTTCCAGCACTGAGCCTTGTGGAACACCACATTCCACCTCAACAGGGTTAGAGAGCGGTCCCCTAACGCGTATTGTAGCGTCCGTTGGTGAAGAAAGTTGTCAATCCAACCAAGCACAGGATCTCCGATTCCGTACCTCTGTAGTCGGTGAAGTATGATGCTTTGATCTAGGCGGTCGAAAGCTTTGGAGAAGTCCAGATAGATGACGTCAACTCCGACCAAATCATCAGCCACTTCCATCCAACTAACTCGTGCAATCAGTAGTTTAGTGGTGCATGACCGGTGTTGACGGAAGCCATGCTACTCCGGGGCCGAGATGTCGCATTTTTCCAACTAGCCTATTCGAGCCTCAGCGATGACCGCTTCCATCACCTTCACGAGCACAGGGAGGAGAATCACTGGGCGATAGTTTGCAGGATCTGAACGGCTACCGCCTTTAAAATTGGAGTGATAATGCCACGCTTCCATAGAGTTGGGACTTACTGTTCATGGAAACACCTTTGGAAGAACTGTGACAGTGGTTCAGCTAACTTGTTTGCCGCTGCCTTCAGTGCTTTTAGGCGGATGTTGTCTGCTCCCGTAGAGCTGTAATCGCGCGGTGAGAGTAACTTCCTTAGCGAAATTGCTGGATTGAAAATTACATGTGTAAACAATAGAGTCGGTAATGTGGTTGAAGGTATGTCACAGGTAAAGACTGCGAGTTCGAAAATTGGGGCGTATTGTAGCCGCAGGGCATTAGCTGCTTCTTCGGTGCTTTGTAATTTAGCGAAAGTTGTGAAAACTGGAGCGATGCCATACTTTACGAAGAGTGGAATGGATGAAACAGCTTGATTTCTCAGCCGAATGGTTCATCATTCACGTGTGGTACCATACCTCAAGGGAATATCAGTCATCTCGAGTGAGCAACAGCGTTCCTTGAAGTTCATAACATCGAAGATTGTAGACGATCTTGATATCGTCGGCGAATAAAATGGCTGGACATGCGTTATGGATGTGGTGATTTCATTCACGTAGGATAGGAACAACGAAGGACGGACCATGTTCCCTTGGATGGCCACATTTGTGATAGGGTGTGGAGAAGAGCGGTAGTCACCTGAAGTGACTACCTAGTAGCGACACTTAGGTATGACGACAGTCAACCTAGTACTCAATCCTGGGCCCCAAAGGCCTCAAAGCTTTTAACAACTGTTTATGAGGTACCTGGTCGAATGCATGGTGTATGTCCAGAAAATTAACTACTACTGCACAGCCGGGATCGACAGATAGTTAAGTGTAGTTCAAATGATGTTGGCAGCTGGAGCACGATCGCTTGCCAAGGAAACCGTGCTGAAATTTATTTGTAAGTCCCAAAGAATTGATATAGCCCATGCCGCACTTGTTGAGCAGTCCTTTAAGACGCTTACGACAAGGTGTAAGATATTGACTGTTATGTCGGTAGAGCAAAAGGAACTTATCGTGGTATTAGAAGGGGGAAATCTCAGAATTCCAGTTGCAGATTAATGTATTACGTAGCACGAATCCAGGATCCGTTAAAAGACAAACGCTCTCTAGTAACAATGCTACACAGTCCAGCGAAAGGCAAACACCAGTAGTGAGAAACAGCAGTGAAAACAAGCCGGTTGAACGGTCTCGCAAGTCTCACATAATGAACAATGAGCAATGATTTATAACGGGTAAAAAAGCAGGTGCTTGACATGTTCTGTGGGATAGTTAGAGTGAGCAAAGAAAGATCAAGGGATAATGGAATAGTCGGTTCGGGCTATTACAGAATTAACTGCACTGCCGTATAAAGGAAGTTTGAAATTAGAATGTGCGCACACAAAGCATTAAGGTGATTGTTTATTGATCACGTAATAGGCGAGAAAAAAATATATAGCAAGGACAGGGCTTACTCGTGTGCAGCTATCTCAGGTCGACGGGATACAGAAATCCAGTTTCTACAGTAGTATCGTTTATCAAACTGTGTGCAAGGGGTTTGGAGTGACTCATTCTCGAGTAGGATTATGGCACTGTCCACTGTCTGTTGTGCATTAGTGCCAGCATGTGGTGGTCATGGGCTATAGAACGTAGTGTAAAGGTGACAGAGTATCGTCAAGGTGTTTTTTGAAAAGGGATAGGGTGGGTGCATTAATTACATGTTTCGGGAGGGCGTTCCAAGACTGTGACACTCGAAGGGAGAAATAGTTTCGCCGACATTCCAGGCAGCTGTACTGCGCGACCAACTTAAACTGAGGACCTCTTAGCGGGGTGTTTTGGCTGAGTATTAGAAGGGGATGGCATGGGTGGTTGGGTTTCCCAGGATCAGGTGCACCATTATGAGATCGCCCGTCAGATACCGATAACGTCCACTGTATATTTTGAGAGTCGTCAGCCTGTGTGTGTAGGGGGAGTTTGGTCAAACCTCTGACGCACTTCGTTGCCCTATGTTGTGCAGTATCGAGCGCGGTGAGATGGTGCTTGAGCCAGGGTTGCCACGCTTGAATAGCGTACTCCGCGTGCGGCCTCATGTACGCACTAAGCATTTTTGGGAAGACTGAAGGGTCAAACTTCCCGAAAGGTCTGCGAAGTAGGCCGAGGTACTGGTTTGTTTTCTTAGATGCCTTTTCAGTCGGCTCCAAAGCATGCATAGTTACGCAAAAATTGCACGATCACCTCCGTCAGTAGCTGGGCAACAACAATTGACTCTTACAGACAGTGCAAAAAACGGCGTTGCAGTTAAGAAATCTTGCTGTAGCCTTGGTCTGCCGTCCACGAAAAACAAGCCAGCTACTCCCACTCGATAAACCTATGCTCACAAGTAAGTGCAGAAGAAGCAATTACTACGTTAAGAGCGATATCTTCAAACGTCTCAGAACCCACTAGTGAAGCGCTAAAAGATAGACAAGCGGAGGAGAAAAACCGCTTGGCTGAAATAACCTGCGCACTCGGACTGAAAGTTCTCCCAATTAGTCTTACACGACTTTCACGAAATCCATCATCTCCACACGTAGGGGAACCTCGGTTACAGCGAGTAACGCTTGACAATACACGCGACGTGAAAGATGTTGTCTTAGCAAGCCACATTCTAGTGAACCCTTCTGCCAGTGCCCGCACTTTTCCTGACAGACCATCGGCCGAAAGACAGAAAATGGAATTCGACACTAGTGCCTCACGTCAAATTAAGATGAAGAAAGTGATACTGGTTCATGATGTGTCAGGGTTGAAGCATGACGATAACAGTAAACAGCAAAAGTATGACATCAAAGAATGGAGGTACATCACAGAGCTCTATGACATGCAAAATGTCCTGGCTTTTGACCTCACCCGTCTAATAGTTTCCACAACCCATCAAGGCAGGGGATCACGAAATCTGAGTTACCTTGGCTGCGCCCGAAATGGTATCAGTGGCGATCCAAGCATGGCATGACAACAGGAAACTTGGGCCATCAGAAGTACGGTTAAGCCCATTCCTTCAA